AGAGAGAGAGAGAGAGAGAGAGAGAGAGAGACAGAGACAGAGACAGACAGAGAGACAGAGACAGACAGAGACAGAGACAGAGAGATGGAGAGAGGGAGGAGGAAAGGGGAGAGAGTGAGCAAGAGAAACAGGGAAAGAGGGAGAGGAGCAGAGAAAGGAAGAGGGGGAGGGGGAGTGAGATGAGAGAGAGAGAGAGAGAGAGAGAGAGAGAGAGAGAGAGAGAGAGAGAGAGATTGGACAATATATCAGTGGCCCAGGAAGATCCACACTCAAATATTGTTTTACTGAATGCATAGTGCTTTGTATAACCATAAATTCAAACAATCTTATGAAGAACCATTTAAGTTGACGACCATCTGTATTTATAACACTCATTTTAGGTCTCCCAAAATGACACACCACTCAAGTTTCAAACAATGTTATATAAAACACAATAAATCTTGCCATGTTAGACTAAGTGTATCTCCACTTGGCTAAATGACTGACTTCTGGTGCATTTTCTTTATATGTTCTTTTATATTTTGCAAATCAAGAGAAGAGGGATAAAAGGACACAGAAGAAAAAAGTATCATGCAAATTACTGTTAAAACTGTTTCCCACTCTACACCAAGTATAGAATGCTGTCTATATTCCCGACAAAATCACACACTGTACTATAAAATTTGATTGGCACAATTTATTGTGAAAACTCCAAAGCTTCGTATAGCCTTACTTTACATAATATCCCCATTATCGTTCCATTTTGCTTAAGTGGTATTTTTAAAGAGCTGTGACTTGCTATAGGACACAGGAGGATCTGTTTCTCATCTGAATATAATTTCCATGAATTATAAACATAATTTTCCTGAACCATTAACCTTCACTTATGTGTGTTCCTTTATTTTAGTTGGTGATAGCATTTATGTAAATCATGTTACTAAATGTGGTTGTGATTTTAAAGTTTCATTTTGTGCTGATTTGTCTCTTTTATGTATATGTCATAAGCTCTTATTTCTCAAGTGAGAATTTACAATATTTTTGTCATATCAAGCATTAAAAGGAAGAAACAACTTCCTTGGTAATATGGTCCATAACCCTGGTGAGAAAATCTACAGGCTTCGTGAATCATTCACTTGGAGCTGATGACAAGACCTTGGCCTACAGGGATGTTTCTCAAGCTAGTGTCTGAGAAACTTTCACCTGGGCAATTTTTCTTCAATGCCTGGTTTCAAAATTAACACAAGAATAGATTAATAAATAAGCATTTTAACTATTGCAGTATTCCCAACAGAGGAAGGTCTTCATGGTGTGAGGATGAGTTCTGACACTCTTGTGGAATCAGGAGGGAGAGAATTCCTGAACTGCAGCTCCTGCCCCAAGCTAGGGTGGAAATATGCAGGGGTGGGGCCAAAATCAGGGGTGGAGCCTAATGTGGGCAGGGCCTGCATGGGGGGGGGGGATTCTAGGCCAGATTGGCAGATTGGGATGGGAGTATTAGACAGTACAATGCTACTTAAATTTGAGTGTATGCTTATAAATTTAAGAAGAGAAATATTTTTAAACATCACAGGAACAAATCTGTCCTAGGTTGAATCCTTATATTTCTGGTGAACAGGACTAGTCATTCATTCAGATGTACTCATCAGTTTTCCTGCCCCAGGCCCCTGTCCTTAAATCCTTTGTCCCCAGTCTTTTATATTCATGTTACTAGGCTCACTTTACTGCAGGAAGTCTTCCACTTTGCCTTAAAGTAATTCTCTGAGGACAACCTTCACTTTAGCTGCCATTTGCTACCAGTGCTTTGCTTTTCATCACATATTGTTGCTTACATACAAGGAAATCTCCAGTATATAGATTTCAAATGAGTTCTCTACATTCAAAGTGCCTTCAAGCAAGTTAGATTATTACAAGCGGTATGTTGTTTTTCTCTGTGTGTTTCTGAGCCCAGGTGACAGATTGCCACTCATGCAATTAAGTTCCAAAGCTAATTAACAAGGTAGGAACACACAGATTCCTAGAAATTAGAAAGTCTACTTTAAATGTTTAGATTTTACGTTTTTTTCAGAGGTACCTTAGAAACAAAGGGCACAAGACACACTTTTACACCTAAACATCTAGGCAGATTCCCTGAACTGTATAGACAGACATGACTTTCAATAGGAATTGTTTCTTTTTCAGTGTCATGCTGCCTGTTTCTCTCTAGTTTTAAAATAAAAAAGCTGATTTGTAATTGCTTTGCAAATCTTATTTCGTTGATAAGGCATTGGGAGCACACCTGTACCCTTTTGCTCCCTGAACTGGAGCATCTGCACAAATTCAGCAACAAAGTTTAAAACCTAAAATTTGAGTATCTCTTATCTGAAATGTTAGCAGGATCCATATCTAAAGACAGAATTCATTTATACTTTGAGTACACATCACACATGTAGCTTACAGGTAACTTTAGGCAGTATTTAGCACACCAGTATTTTTACTATAATTTACTGTCATGTGAAGTCAAATGTAGAATTGTCTATTTGTGGTGTTATATCAATCCTCAGAGTTTCAGATTTTGGAGCACTTTGAATTTCAGATTAGAGATCCTGATAAATCTGGCATCATTTATTGTACTTTCATTCTTTATACACTTTGGTATTCTTTTAGGGCCTGAAGGAGCTCTCTTTGAACACTCAGTGGAGACACCCCTTCTAAGAGCTGACCCATTTGAAGACCTAAGGTAAGAAGTTTTGTTTTAATAGATGATGGAGTGTGTGCTGGGACAATATAGTAGCAGTGGTCACCGGATTATTTTGCATTGCATTGTCTTTATTTTCATGACTTTTTGCATTCAACTACTAATTTTTTAAGCCAAAAATAAGTCACAAGTCCTACTGATTCTCTACTCTGTCTCTAAGTTTTCGCACCTCTTTACTCCCCAGGCCTCACTGTTTGAGCTCAGACTCTGCTGTCCTGAACACCTATTCCTGCCCTAGCTGGCTCCTCCCCAATCTGCCCCTCACACAGGCATCAGTCACTTCTCAGTGCAAACTTAAACACTTTGCTCACTCTGCATCAACTGTAGGAAACCCCGAAGTGCTCCAGTGTGTGCTCCTGGCCCTGCACTGTTTGACCTGTGACTGGTGTCTCCTCTCATGGCCTCACAGACTGGAGTGGTGGCCAGACCTTCCCACCCCATACTCACACAAGCTGTTCTGTCTGACCCACGCACCCCTCTGATTCCACCTCTGCATACAAAACAAGGCAAAATCTTTTCACCTTTGTAGAAGAGAATGTCACCCTACATAGACTAAAGTTTGCAAAATGTATTCTTGACAATGCACTATTAGTAGATAAAAGAACGTTATAAAACCAAGTGCATGATAAATCCATATGTGCTAAAAGTTGGAAACCTTTGATCTGATGTCTCATTTTCATTTGTGGTGTCTCATTTCATTTCAAAATACATATCACATAAAGCTCAACCTCTTAACCACTTTAATGTACAGTTTAGTGGCATTCAGGACATTCACAATGTTTGCCACCACCACCTCATCCTTCTCCAGAACCTTTTCCCTCTTTTTGCATGGAAGTTCCATTCTCACAAATAGTTCTTCCTTGTGTAAGGGAAGCATATACACAGTATTTTTTTTCTTTCTTTTCTTTCTTTTTTTTTTTTTTTTTTTTT